ACCTCCCCGGTTCTGTAATGTGTCCCCGGTCCCAAGGTCATCCCTGCATATCATGTGTTATGGTGTGAATCATGCACCCCTCCCCCCCACCTCCAGACTTATATGTTGAAGTCCTAACTCCCAGGGCCTCAGAACGTGGCTTTATTTAGAAATAGAGTCTTTGCAGATGTAATCAGTTAGGATGGGTCATACTGGATAGGGTGGATTCCAACACCAATGGGGCTGATGTCCTTATAAAAAGAGGGAATTTGGATACTGACATGCACACAGGGTTTAAACACCTGAATGTCATAGGCAGGAAATGAGAGCCAGCACGAGTCAAGTTGGGATGCATCTCCATGTTTATTGAGCACCTATTATGTACCAGCCACCGTTGTAGGCACATTGATCCCCAGAGCGACCTGGGAAGTGAGTGATATAGTCCCTGTTGTACAGGTGAGAAAACTGAGGCTCAAAGGACATGTGATTTCTGGGGCTGCATAGCAGAGCCCCCTGAGCATACAAGGTCGGCTCTTATTTTTCTGACTGGAGAGTTCTCATCCTATTGCTGGAGTCCCTGCCCTGTCCCCTGAGGTCCTCCACAGGGTCCTCCTCAGCAGAATCGTCCTCACTCGCCTCCTCTTCTTTCCTCTGGCTCCGTATGGTGCTCTGAGCACTCTAAATAATCATGATCATCATCATCATCATCATCATAGCAACAATATCAGAGATAATAATAACAGCCATAAGTATTGAGTATTTTCTAAGTGCTTCGTATAGATCTGTTCACCTAATACTCACCACAACCCTATGAGGGGGGTAGTGTTATTAACCCCGCTTTGCAGGTGAGGAATCTAAGGCACAGAGAGGTTAAAGAACTTTCCCAAGGTCATTCAGCTTGGGAGCAGTGGGTTTGGACTCAGGCAGCCTGGCTGGGGGCCGTACTTCCTCCGCTGCCTTTAGAGAGAATTATCCAGAAAGCCAAGAGACACTTCCTGCCCGCTTCACACACTGTGGGGCAATGTCCCCCCTTTCTCACCCCCCATGGCTGACGTACCCAAACTATTGACATGAGACTGCTTAGAATCTTTATTTATGCTACTTGATTAAATACTCAGAGTTTTCCCTGCGGAAATATAAATGTGCCTGATCACAGGCCTCGCTAGGCTCGTGAGGTCACATGTAGTATAAAGACCGTATTATTTTCCTAAAGTCAGAAATGTTGACTTCTGAAACCCACTGGCGGAGGGCTGGGAGGCAGGAGAGCCGGGTCCAGAGCCCTGGCTTCTCAAGTGGACGTACTGCAGGGTTCCTCTAGGGGGCGCTCAGGACACACGGCGGCCGCACCGCTGGGTTCCGAGGTTT